GAGAACTGGACATTTTGGTTGGCTCCTCAGGTTGCTAGGCTTAACATCTCTTGACATCCCTTTCAAAACCACGAGAAGATTATATTTAGCTAGTGATGGCATGTTGCTGGGAGTTTCCCAAAGTGTGGGGTGAAGGTGGTGAGTGAAGTGACTGTCGGAGATAACGGAGACATGGCAATAAATGACACTGGATTACATGGATTATCGTTATCCCGTTTCAGTTCTCTCCCTCCTTCTCATCACGGCAAGGAGAAAGTTTCAGCCGAGTGCTAAAATGCCCTTACCACTCCTGTAATGCTTTGCTAATCCCCCCTTAATCAAAGACAAAGCAGGTTTCAGGCTCAGCACCTTGGCAGACAACAGTAGCTACCAAGAACTTAAAAAACAGTCTTTAGTTTTCATATTTATTTTTACAATTATCTCTTCCTCATGGCCTAGTGGTTTTCTATTTTAAATGGTGAAATGAAATAGCTATTTAATGTAAATTTAAACCAAAAAAGGCCATATACCCAGCAATCCCATCCTAGGTGTATACCCACAAGAAATGAAAACAGAACAAACAGAAACCCGTACGCCACTGTTCACAATAGCCAAAAGATAGAAACAGTCTAAACGCTCATCAACAGATGAACGCATGAACAAAACATGGCACGTTCATACCATGATGATACTCAGCCATGAAGAGAAATGAAGTGCTGATACATGCTACATGGGTGAATCTTGAAAACATTGTGCCGAGTGAAATCAGTCACAAAAGGACAAATATTGTAGATCCCACTTACATGAAATAGGCAAATCTATAGAGACCAACATCCCTATAGAGTTACTGGTGATTACCGGGGGTGGTTTTGTTATATATATTTTTACCACAGTAAAACAAAATTTTTGAAAGGCTATATCCTGATGGCATAGTGGTTAAGAGCTTCATCTTCTAACCAAAATGTTGGCAGTTCGAATCCACCAGGCGCTCCTTAGAAACTCTAGGGGGCAGTTCTAATCTATAGGGTCGCTAAGTCGGAATCAACTCAATGGCAATAAATATATTTTAAAGAGGGTTAAGCCTATTAAAGGTCAGAGGGGGTTCAGAGATATGGCAAAGACTGAGAAGACCTACACAAGAGAAGTTTGGAGAAACTTGAATATTATGACACCAGCAAAATAGGAATGAGATCTGAGTTGTACATACTGACAGTGCCAGGTGGACTTGATGATCTGAGGTCCTTTCCAGCACTGACATTCTAGAAATTCCTGGGGAATTTCTCACTCATGGTCCATGGCTTGTGCCTGTAGCCCACTTGCAAAATCTTGGGTAGCATATTTGTTACCCTAGATTTTTATTTTCTAAGACAACAAAATAGTGAATACCTCAACTTGTGTTGGCCACACGTCTCTGTTGAAAGGACTCAGCTCTGCTATTGTAGCTGGAAAGCCGCCAGACAGTACGTAAGTATGGCTGTTTTCAAATAAAACTTTATTTATGGACACTGAAATTTGAGTTTCATAGTTTTCAGGTCATGAGATATTAATCCTGTTTTCTTTTCCCCCCATTTAAAAATGTAAACACCATTTTTAGCTCACGACGGCACATAGACAGTAGGCCAAATTTGGCCTGTGGACTATAGGGTTCCCTCTTCTGAGCATACTGGAGAGGAAGTGGGGTAGCTGGGCCTCAAAGGCCTGAGGAAAAAGTTCTGAGCAGAGGGACCAGCAAGTGCAAACATCCTAAGGCTGGAATGAGTTTGGTGTGCTCCTAGGACAGAAAAATGTGTGGCTGAACTGCAATGAACAAGGGGAAACAAGGGGCATTATGGGAGCAAAGCATAGTGGGCTTGGTAAGTCTGAACAGGAGGTTTAGAATTTATTCCAGGTTTCCTGGGAAGTTCTTTGGAGCTGAGGGATGTGCTGTTGATCAGAGTCCCTGGGTGGCACAAATGGTTTGGGTTCTGGATCAACGTGGCTCTAGCTGTGTGGACTCGGGCAAGACACATCTCTCTGATTCTGTTTCCACATCTATAAAATGGATGGGGAGTCCCTAGGTGGTATAAACAGTTAACGTGCTCAGCTGCTAATAAAAGAGGTTGGAGGTTCGAGTCCACCCAGAGGTGTCTTGGAAGAAAGGCCTGGTGATCTCCTTCCAAAAAATCAGCCACTGAAAACCCTACGGAGCACAGTTCTACTCTAACACACATGGGTCGCCATGAGTCAGAACTGACCCTCAGGCAACTGGTTTGGTTTTTTGGTGCCCTTGATCTGGTTTATATTTTCACAAGATTCCTCTGCCTGCTGCTGTGAGTGGAACAGACCTTGGAGCTCCAGAAGAATGGAAGGAGGGCTGTGAGGACACAGTCACAGTCTTCAAGTGAGAAATGACGATGGTCTGGCCTAGGGTGGCGACAACGAGGTGGCAAATCCGATGGACCTGGGCTATATTGTGGTGGTGGAGACCTCAGGATTTGTTGGGAGATTCAAAGCAAGTGAGGAGTCAAGAACAAGCTCAGGGTGTCGAGTTGATCATCCCATTTTATTTTGTTTGGTGACAGTATACACAAAGACACACCATCTCTAACAGTTTCTCCATGTACAATTCAGTGACATTGGTTACATTCTTCAAGTTGTGCAGCCATTCTCCCTATCCTTTTCCACATTCCTCTACCACCCTTACCTCAAACTCACTGCCCCTTAAGCTTCCCATCCAACCTTCTGAACTGCCAGTAGTCAATTTGATCTCACACAGATAATTCTTTCAAAGAGCAGTGCTCAAAGCAGGTGTACTTTACTAATTGTTGTCGTTGTTAGGTGTCGTTGAGTTGGTTCTGACTCACAGTGACCCTACGTGCAACAGAACACTCCCTGGACCTGTGCCATCCTCACAATCCTTGTTATGCTTCAGCCCGTTGTTGCAGCCACTGTGTCAATCCATCTCCTTGAGGGTCTTCCTCTTTTACGCTGACCCTCTACTTTACCAAGCATGATGTCCTTCTCCAGGGACTGATCCCTCCTGATAACGTCCAAAGTATGTGAGACGTAGTCCTGCCATCCTTGCTTCTGAGGAGCATTCTGGCTAATTTACTAATTAAAATACGCTATTTTTTGGTTCAAAGAATTCAGGGGATAGTTTTCATTTAAGGTTTGAGAAAGTTTAATTCTCCCGGAATCCAGATTTCTGGGGTCTATGGAATTGGTCTGGAAATAAGGAGGACCGAAGAAGAATTGATGCCTTTGAATTACAGTGTTGGTGAAGAGTACTGACTACACCATGGACTGCCAGAAGAACGAACAAGTCCGTCTTGGAAGAAATACAGGCAGACTGCTCCTGAGAAGCAAGGAAGGTGAGACTTTGTCTCACGTATTTTGGACATGTTATCAGGAGGGACCAGTCCCTGGAGAAGGACATCATGCTTGGTAGGGGGTCAGCGAAAAAGAGGAAGACTCTCAGAAGACTCTCAACGAGACGGATTGACACAGTGGCTGCAACAATGGGCTCAAACATAAGGATTGTGAGGATGGCGCAGGACCGGGCAGCATTTGGTTCTGTTGTCCGTAGGATTGCTATGAGTCAGAACCAACTTGATGGCACCTAACAAGATGGAGCTGGGGAGACCCACCCAGGCCATTGTTCTGAGATCTTCTTTTGAATGCTGAGCCTTGAAAAAAATGGTTTGCTGAAGTTAAACAGTAGCCTAGTAACTAGCTTAGTGAAGACAGTTTTGCCTTAGGCACTGGGCTTTTTTGAAGCATTATCTGTGTAAAGGTCAGACTAGAAACTCTGTTTTTGGGTAAACTGTTATTATATAAACACCGTTCTGGTCCCTTTTCCATGGCAATGTGGATAAGATGGAGTACAACAACTTCTGGAAGTTCTTTTCATCTTTGGAACATTTTTGACCCCCTAGTCGAACTGGAAGGAGCCCTGGTGGTGCAGTGGTTAAGCGCTCAGCTGCTGAAAGGTCACTGGTTGAACCTACCAGCCACTCCACAGGAGAAAAATCTGACAGTCTGCTTCCATGAAGATTTATAGCCTCGGGAACCCTATGGGGCAGTTCTACCCTGTCCTACAGGGTTGCTATGAGTCGACTTGACAGCGGGTTTGGTTTGGTTTTAGTGGAGATGGTACCCCGATTTGCAAATCGTGTATTAAATAAACTTCAAGTCAATTTATATTACCGGCTTAATAACGATTTTTGTTTTAACAGGTTTAAAGTTTAAGGAGTAGCTCAGACCAACAGTTTCAGGGGCTCATTCAGCCTCAGGCTCCAGAAAGATCATCCCATTCTACCGATGAAGACACTCGCGGCCCCGGCTCGGTGCCAGGTGCTGTTATGGGCGTTGGGATCTGGCTGCCGTCCGGCAGTGGAGCTCCTATGCGCGTGGCTCGAAGCCAGGTCCCCGTCGCCAGGTCCCCCACCCAGCACTGACCCCTGTGGCCGGTACTCTTCCCCTCGGAGCTGTGATCTCCCACCCCAGCCACCCCGCGCCCTCCTGCCGCCTCCCCGCGTGGCCTCAGGAAGACGTCGCCGAACGTCCTATGTCCCGACTATTTGGGCTGTAGGGCACTGAGGCCTGAGGTAACAACAGGTCGCCGCCCCCTAGGGCCCGGGCCTGCGCATGTAGAAAGCCCCCGAAGGCCCAAGGGTTTACCTAGAGGAAGACCTCCTTGGCCGCGGCGCCCTCAACCGTGCACTCTATCACAGCGAGGAAGCCTCGGGAAACAAGCGAAAAAAGCAGACATCAGGATTCAACTCCAGCAGAGTCACGTCACAAAGCGCTCAACCTAGTCGCGCCGGGGACGCGCGCGAGGCCCGCGCCTGCGCCTTGCCCACGCCCCCTCCGTCGGCGGGAAAAGGAGGCGGAGGCGGTTAGTGCGCAGGCGCCTGCTCCGAGCGCGGTGAGGCGGGGAGTGTGACCGGGAGAGCAACTCCGCGAAGGCTCAGCGCGCAGGCGCGAGCTGCCCGCCTCGCACAGAGCCGGCTTGGAAAGTGCGCACGCGCAGGGGTTTCTGGCAGAAAGCAGGCGAGCCCGGGCCGGCGCGGGGCCTTGTGGGAGGGCTTAAGGAAGTAAAATGGCGGACCTGGCGAACGAAGGTAGGGGAGGCGCCATCGGCGTCCAGCTGGCGGACAGGGAGCGGGTGGGAGGAGGCCCAGGGGCCACAGGCCCGAGGAGTGAGCACCTCAGGGTGAGGGGATCCCGTCTACTCCGGGCTAGCGGCCCAGCGGGCCCTGCAGCCGCCCCCCATCGCGTCCCCTCAGGCTGGGCTCACCGGCCCGGCCCATCACTCCCGGCAGCCTTGGCCCCAGTCAGCGTCCGGCCAGAGGAGCCAGGAGGCTGCTGGGGTCGCGGCCCTGAGGCCCTGGCGCCTCGCAGACCGGGCCTGGAGCCGAAGGGGCGGGAGGCGCGGCCTCAGTGTTTCGGCCTCGGATGTAAATAGACCGTCGGGCCTGGTCGTGGGCCCAAGCGCGCCACGCTCCCTCTGCCTCCCCCTCGTTCTCTGGGACCTTGGCTTTGCCTCTTCCCCGGCCTAGCTGCCGGGCCGGGCCGGCCCGTCCTATTCCCAGATTCTGTGAGCTTCTCATCCCCCATAACGAGGACAGAGGAAGCTCGGTGTGTTTTCATTCCCTCGCTCCCAGCTCGTCCCCCCCAATTCCCTCCGGCTCCCCCGGGTGCTTCGAGGCAACCTGAGAGTCGAGCCCAATTTCCCCTTATTTAGGGCTCCCCGTAGGATCTGGGCCACTGAACGCCCTGGCTTTTTGGCCTTTCTTTTTTTTTTTTTCTCTCAGTTTGCATATGCGTGTGATTCCCTCCTCTGGAGCGCTGACGTCCCATCTGAGCGTTTTTGAGGGGTTACAGTTCCATATCCGCTAGAGAAAGCACTCCGTAAATCTGTGTCTGCTTGGATTAACGGTGTTGATATCGGTGTAGCTTCAAAACTTCCGAAGCTTATTTTTAGCACAACTGCAAACAGGTCATCTACCTGTCTGGCCCTGATTCCCATACTATGCTTCCTGCTATTGGAGTGTGTCCGAAGGCTTCCACACTGTACTGCACTAACGCATGAATGATAATGATTGCTTACATTTGTGGAACACTTCGGGGTGGCCCCAGGTACTGTTCAAAGTCTTGATGTGTTGCCTCTGGTAATTCTTACTCCTCACAAAAGCTCCATGAGGTGGGCACTGTTTGCCCAGTTATGTTGGTGAGAAACTTGAGTTAGGGTGGTTAAGTCGCATGGCCAAGGCTACACAAGTCACACAGCTAGTAAGGAGCAGGAATCTGAACTGAGGGGCGTCTGGCGTCAGAGCCCCCACTTTTGACAATTTGATGCTGCATCTCTGAGTTGTGGCATTCCAACTCAGTAAGATACAGTTAGGCACCCTGGTGGTGCAACGATTAAGTGATCAGCTGCTAACCAAAAGGTTGGCAGTTGGATCCCAGCCAGAGTCTCCACGGGAGAAAGGCCTGGCAATTTGCTTCCGTAAAGATTACAGCCAAGAAAACCCTGTGGGGCAGTTCTGCTCAGTCACATGGGGTCACTATGAGTCAAAAGCCACTCAATGACAGCTAACAAGATCCAGTTAAAAGCAGAAGAGGTACTGGATGAAAGAGAATCTGTGTGACATTTTATCTTCGGCTCAGACAATTCCCTGAATTCAAGACTCATATATCCAACAGCTGATTTGACATCTCTGCTTGAATGTCTAATAGGCATATCGAACAGCATGCCCATAACAAAATTCTGATTTTTCCTCCCGAAATCTGCCCCCCATGATCTTTCCCCCATGGCAGTATGTGACAAGTCCATTCATTCAGTAGCTTAGGCCAAAAAGCTTGCAGTTATCCCTGACCCCTCTCTTTCTCTCACACCCCACAACCAGTCCAACAGCAAATCCTGTCAGTGCTACCTTACTTCCAAAGGGTGACCATTTCTCACCACCAGCGCTGCCGCCACTTGGACCTCCTGTCTTCCCACCATAACCCATCCAGCAATTTCTTCTCAACCCAGAAGCCATAGTGACCTCCTCATACCTCCCTGACTGTCTCTCCCACCACTGCCTCCTTGGCTCGCTCTGCTTTAACCACCCTGGCTTTCTTATATTTCTTGAATGTTCCAGACACTCCCTCCTTTAGCCCCTTGGACCTGCTGGTTCTTTTGCCTGAAACAGTCTTCCCCCAGATATCCCCATCACTGGCTCATCGCCTCCTACAGACTCTTACTCAAATGTTACTTTCTCATTGAGAGCTTCTTTGGCCACCTGTTTTGAGTTGCATCCTTATTCTCTCTCCCCCTTACCCTGTTTGATTTTACTCCACAGCACTTGTCACCACCCGGCATTTTACTTGTTTGTTCGACTGCTCCTTCACTAGAATACAAGCTCTATGAGGGCAGGGATTTTTTTTTTTAATCTGGTGCAATTACCAGTAGAGCTCCTGCATCTAGAACAGTGCCTGGCACAGAGTACGTATCCAGGAATTGTTTGTTGAATGAACGAATAATGAATGAGTGAATGAATCCATCCATGAGGACTGTCATTGTGAAGGATACCTTGGAGTAAAAAAGGAAAATTATGGATTGCTGTTTTCCAAGGGATACCGTTTTCTAGCTTACGCTGAGTACATGAACTGTCGATTTGTAGATTGAATAGTTGAACGGGTAAGTGTAAATAAAATAGAGAAATTGAATGTTTTGTACTTTAAGTTTTTTGTCTAATAAGTGCCATAACCAGTAATCAATTGCTGAAGAGTTGTTTCCTACTCCCAGCAACCCCATGTGTGTCAAGAGTACAGCTGTGCTCCACAGGGTTTTCAATGCCATGTTGTTGTTTGCTGTCAAGTGGATTCCAACTCATAGCGACCCTGTGTGACAGAGTAGAACTAGAGCAGATTGCCAGGTCTTTTCTCCTGAGAAGTGGCTGGTGTGTTCAAACCACCGACTTTTCAGTTAGCAGCCAACCACTTAACCATTGCACCACCAGGGCTCCTGTTCAATGCCATAATTCACCTGGTATTTTGCCACCAGTTCTGGGATAGTTGTCAGGAAATCAAATTTTAGTGGATTTTTGTGCTTCAGATGTCCCTGCCATCCTTTAACTTGTTGGTGTGTGTTTCTAGGACTCCATTTCTGCTTTTGGCTTGTACAGCCTCCTAGGATGATGAGCTTCTTATCTGCTGTGTAAAGTACGACTTCCTTGCTTGAGCATTTTGCAGCATTAGGGTCTGCCAGATAACTGAGCTTTCCCTCTTGCTTTTTAAGCTCCAGTCAAATGCTCTCTTCGCTTCTGCCTTTCCAGACTGAGATCCTGAGGTGGTCCATCATCACACCGAAGTCCCTCCTCCATCTTTCCTCTCTGTCTCTCTTCTCTGAGCCTTTCCCTCCTCTGTGTCCATCTGAGGTAGTGGTTGTCCACTCTTGTTGGGCATCAGAATCACCTGGAGAGCTTCCTTAAAACCACAGAGGCTCAGTCCCCACACCTCACAGACAGTGATTCTTTGAGGTGTTGGATGAGCCCTGGATATCTGCAGGGATTGAAAGTACAGGTGATTCTGGGATGCAGCCAAGGTTGAGAACCACTGGTTTGGGTTACACAGGTTAGGTGTGCTGTGCTTGTGTACAAGGAAGCATTTTCAGTTGTGTGTCCAGCACAGCATCCTGGTGGCCCTCATTGCCATGGCGGTCTCTTCAGAGATGTTGACAGCAGTGCTTCCAGCCATATGTAGTCTATGACTTACAAAGTCAAGGTGGGATGCCTCTCTCCTAGGAGTGAGTGTGTACGTGTGTGTTTTCCACTTGTGTCCAGGGATCGTCTCTTCTGCTTGGCATTTTGCGGTTGACACATCTCAAGCTCGTTAGTCATCCTAGTTCTGGCTTTATCCTGTCTTGTAGACGGATTTGAACGCAGAGTTCTGCTCCAGGTAAAGCTAAAGAAGGATGGAAGAAGGGTGAGCAGAGTATATTTAAACCAGGGCTTCAAACCGGTTTGTTCGGTTCAACTCCCTGCTGAGAATTTGCCTTTCCACCCCAGATATACTGAATCAGAATCTACATTTTAACAAAATCTCCAGGTGAACTGTAGGAAATCTTGGATTCTAGGTCCTGGCATTAAAAGAGAGCATATGAACTCCTTGCTGGTCTTGTGGACCTGGATGGTGGAGACCTTGGAGACAATATAAAGCAGGGTTTCTCTAGCTCAGCACTGTTGATTGGGAGCCAGATAATTCTTTGTTGCAAGGGGCTATCTTGTGCAGTGTAGGATATTGAGCAGTATGCCTGGCCTCTATTCACTAATGCCAGTAGCACTCTTCTCCCCCTAGTTGTGAAAACAAATGTTTCAGGACATTTGCCAGATGTCCCCTGGGAAAATGAACACCACCAGGTAAGACCCACTGGTGTAAAGTGACGGTGGAGGCACAAGCTTTGCCTCATAGAGAACAGACCCTGCTCTCAGTAACTTGAGGCAAATTACTTAGCTCTTTTAAGCTTCAGTTTCCCCATCAGTAAAGTGGGCATAATCATTATCATACCTGCCTCACGGCTGTTGTGAGCCTTTGATGAGTTAATGCACATAAATTATTGAGCACAGTGATACACACTCAGTAAATGGTAGCTATTTTTAGCTACCGTGGTAGAAGAGCCCTAGTGGTGCAAATGGTTAAGTGGTCGGCTGCTAACAGAAAGGTTGATGGTTTGAACCCACTCAGCGGCTCCACGGGAGAAAGACCTGGAGATCTGCTCCCATAAAGATTACAGCCAAGAAAACCCTATGGGGCAGTTGTGCTCTCTCCCATGGGGTCACTATGAATTGGAACCGAATCAGTGACACACAACAGCATTTTTACTACAGTGGACTTGTGTATAGGCACATTGAGCTTAAATGCTCAGCAGAGAAGAGAGATCCAGAAATGAGCCTAAGTTGTGAGGGAGAATCTGCCCCACTCAGTGAGATGCCAGGGTGAGCCTGTGATGGAGACCAGAAGGGGCTGGGCCACCAGTCCTCCTGCTTCTTCTGTACCTTTCGTCGAATTACCATCTGGCTCAGGGTTTCCCAGCCTCAGCACTGCTGACATTTTGGGCCATATGGAGTCCCTGGTG